CATACTACTGCCTCTAATTATATATATAAAATTTAGGTTTGTTCGTAAGTAGGTTTACCAGTCCCGTCAGGGTCTGCAACTCAGTTTACAAATAAGGTATATCACAAGTCACAAATGTTTTTTGAAAGTTGGAATGAATGTTGGCTCTATATAACTCCTTCCCTCGGCCAATCAATTCTGTTGTTTCCATGCCAAGTTTCATTGCGTACCTGACCACACCCACAGTTGCACTACACCTGTTTAGTTGAAAACAAAAGTTAAACATTGTAAGGAACAACAGAATTGAAACTGAAACAAGGAAAAGGTGAAAGATTTACTGTCAATAGAGTGATTCATTCACACTGTCACATTCATGTAAGGCCTACACATTTTTTACACACACTTTCTTTTAACAAGTTAGAAATAGTTACCATTGTTATCTGTTTTGAGTTTAATTCATTTTACTAAAATAAACTGTAAGTTTTGACTAAATTTAATAATTTAATTTAATATGATGTTTAAATATATGTATATATGTATGCATCAGATGATGAATTTAAGTATCATCCTGTGAGAAGCTGGTCTTGCAGGGTTCATGGGAATCTTTATTATTCCCGAGGGACAATTTGTTATACAGCCAGCAGTATATCCATAACCAACAAACAACAGACAATAACCAATAACTAAGTAAAGTCCATAAATACAATCCAAATATTACATACAATTAATGAATTAATAAATTATGCCCCGTTAACCCTTTAACACCAGAGCCACAAACAGGTTGCCTTTTCCAGGATAACTTCAGCTTTGATTATCTGGCATTTATTTAGCTGAATGTGGAGCATTTGTGGAACATTTAAAGACAGTGAGAAAGGCAGATGAGATTGGCTCTGATGGCCTTTAACAACCCTCAACACACTCAGTGTTTATGTACAGTTTGGAAACAATAGCTCTCTTGTGCACCGATGTGCATGGACACCAAACACCAAACGAAAACACTCACTGTGCCACCACTGTACCTGTGTCTTGTTCACACGTCTCTGTAAAATGTAATCTGTACCTTTTCAGTATTCTTACAGTCATATCGCTGAAATACATTCCTCCATATATATGTTACATATACAAACATACATATATAGTTCTTCTCCATAATGAGGAACAGCATGCAGTAATAAAACGTATTATTTCAGGGGTTTTTTTTCAATTTCATGAAATAATTAACCAGTTATTAAATAAATACAAATCATTATTTATATTATTATTATTATTTTATTTATTTATTTATTTACTTATTAGTATTGTTGTATCATTTGAGGTCAATTATGGTGGTGTTTGGTATAAAATAGTGTTCCAAAAATGTTCATTTATTCATTGTTTAACAACCATTTCATGCCTTATAATAAACAATTTGTAATTAAGATTGTGCCGATCTTAATTGCAAATTCTAAATGCTTAAAGCATGCAGACGTGCTCATAATGATTATGCGAACATGCTGATACTAAGTATAATGTTAACTATGTTCACCACTTTAGTACATTTGCTAATTAGCACTAAACATAAATTACAGTACAAAATCAACGTTTTAAAAAAAGTGCATTTCTGGTGATAAAGCAAACTATTGGACAAATTACAGTTTTGATGTGATTAGTCAGAAAATCACAAAGTGGTTACACTTCATCTTGAGGGGAACATGAATCCATTCAATTTTTTAATATTTCACAAACAACATAAAAGTGGATGAAATTCAGTTGTTTACTGAATTGTTCCCATCTGCTTTATCTCTCACAGAGTTTAATATGATTCAACTTTGACCTGTGAAATAGTGTGAGACTCTCCAATGTCCAGCCAATTATAGAGAGAGGGTGGGATCAGATCATTGACAGGATGGAGTAGATTAACAACTTGACCAAGACGCACTGATTGCTCATATGCTCGGTCATTTCTTGCTACTTGGGCAGCAGAAACAAGCTGTAAAGACAACACTGATAGTATCACTCTTTAAGCTGATATGGCCAACCTGTTAGCAAACTGTTCACTGTTCACTGTGCACGTCCAGCAGTTATGGAGCAACAGCAGCATTTATTTATAATAATAATAATAATAATAATAATAAATTTAATTTATAATTTATTATATATATTTAGTGCTTTTCCAGAAACTTAAAGACACTTCACATAAGTTAAAAGGAAAAGAAAATAGCACTTCTGAAAAGGGGGATTTGATCAGTGATTTGAAGTTGGATGGATCAATACAGTCTCTGATTTGTTTGGGGAGAGAGATCCAGAGGGAGGGGGCAGCTATGAAGAAGGCTCTGTCGCCCCAGGTATGATGCTTGGTCCTCAGTGGTGGAGACAGGAGGTTGGCATCAGAAGAGCGGAGGCTTTGGGAAGGAGTGTGGCGATGGAGCAGGTCTGCAAGGTGGGAGGGGGCCTGGTTGTGGGGGACTTTAAGTTGTGTTTGAGCCAACAGGATGAATCCAAGTCCAATATTCACTCTCCTTCACGCCATTTGGTCTTGGCTTTTTAGCTGCTAAATGCTCAGATATTCTATGGTGAAAAGCAGGCAATGGACTTGAATTGATGTGCACAGAATAGTAAGCATAAGCTGTGGAAACTAACATTCAAGCAAGCAAAATATACATGTTGTTTGTGATGAAGGAACAAAACAGAGTCTCAATTTTAAAATATTTATTCATAGACTAATCAAACAACAAACAATAATTGACAGTAATTGTAATTGATAACTACAGTTTATGTTTTACGGTCCTTTTTAATCAATTCGACATATTGGTATTTGTTAAGGGATCTGATAAAGATGGAAAGGGCTGCTATTCCCCAAAGACGTCTGAAATTGTAGAAAGGCATGAACTGTTGCAGTTTTTAGATCTGCTGCTATTTCTTTTCCAATGTGAAACACAAAACAGTTTTCAACCATTTTTTTCCAGTTCTTTCTCAAATTTTCCAAGAGTTCATCCTGCACTACTGCAGGAAATTCTAATGAAGAAATGAATTCCTCTCCACGGAGCAAATGTTCTTTAAAAGTATGTGAACTTGTTCCCAGTTTCACAAGAGCATCAAGAGCATCTTCAATAGCATCTATATAGATGGTATCATCAGACCGTGTCTCATAGATATCATCAACTTTAACTTTATTTATGAAACTCTTTAATTTAAAGGGGGTTTCCCTGAATTCTTTAAAATATCCGAAAAAAATACAGCTCCGAGATGAGATGTTGGAATATTCGAGAGACTTAAAGAGACTTGGTGTAAATGACCCCCAACAGTTTCTGAATCCCACTGAAGTAATAATCCCATATTCATTGTACCACTGATAAGCTTTTTCTATAAGTTGTAACATACAACAAGGAATATGTTTTTCCTTCCCATGTCTTTTTAAACATGGGCTATTCACTGTATAAAAGGAAATACTTTGCACTTTAGTTACATTGCTCCGAAGATATTCATCAATGTCTCCAATTAAAATTTCCTCGCTGTGTTTCGAACATTCAGATGTCTTTTTTGAAAGAACTGGTTTAACCTTGGGAAACTCCACACATTCATCATTTCTCAATACAAGAACAGCAGATGCATATTGTTTCTCCTTCCCCCCATTATTCTCATGAAAATATATCGGGGGAGTATGTAAGGGCCCATGAGCAGACACTCTTTTCAAAAACAATTCAAAAATGCGACACTTAAGTTTTGGCCGATTACTATTAACTTTATGGGGGGACTGTAAATGTGACTTATTAGTATTTACAGTATTTAAATACATTTTACGAATTAAATCAATTGTATCCAGCAATTCAGATATTAGTAAATTACTTTTTTTGGGACTTCTATTGCCTTTATTGTTAATGACAGCTGAAGTTAGCATGGGGTGACACACTGATCCACATTGGCCTATATTAGAAATGGGATCATTCTCCTCTCCAGGATCTTCTTGCTGATGGTCTTCTTCCCTGGAGAATGAAAAGGTACAACAACACGTCAAGAGAGACTGTCGTCCCAAGAAAAGTGACAGAACCAAGTCATTTTTGAGCCTAAACTTAAACAAACGTCAACCATATATGAATCATCATAAAACATATTTGTTTTTCAACAGTGATTTGAAACAGGTTTGGAAGGCACAGATACATTGTATCACAGCTGTTGTTTTGGATTGCATTGGATCAGTACCTCATAAACTGGCTCAGTAGTTTGCAAAGTTGATATTTATAAAGTTGATGTCTTTTGAATGTATCTCTTTCAAGATATAGGCCCACTATTTGGTACTACATGTGTGCAGCGTGTTGAATCCTCTCAGGAGCTTGCAATATATTTGTTCCTCCACTGTTGAGGGCGGTGACCAAGGTTGATATAGTTAACTACTGCCACAGGTGGGAGTTGAACCCATGGCTACTGCAACAAGGCTTCTTGGTACAGGAAGTGCCAGCTCTCATTTGAAGTTTGATACATTTGACTCATTTAACTTTACATAAAATATAAAATTCAATAATATTAAAGTCCAGATGAAATAAAAAAATGTAATTTTAATAAGTTATATTGTACCCCTATTGAACGATGTATGCCAATTTCTTTTTTACAAAAACTCAATTTTCTTTATTTTGTCTTCCTGTAAAACAAACGTGTTCTTATGTAAGCATGAACTAACAGATCTGAGTCCCTCCCTAGCTGCTTGTTTTTACAGGAAATACATAAATATGTGGAAATGGCACTCTGATTTCTGTTTCATGTAGACTTTTAGTAAAGCCATTAAATGCCCCAATTGGGACAAATATAACTTAACTGTGGTAAATTAATAATGTTAAAAATATTGGCTATTATCAAACATTATTAAGTGCGTCATTCTTTAATTATTATATCATTTAACATTTACTGAAGTGAAGATGGTTGCTAGATTTACTTACTAACTCCATAACTGATTCCATCTTTTCACATTTACTTATCTGGGCAGTTTCATGGGACCAGTTGACAAAACTTGATTAAGTAAATACAGCATTTTATTTTTTAGAGTGTACCTCTCGGGTGGTGTGAGCTCTTTCTCTGTCAAACTGTTTGACGACATCTCTTCTCCAACTCCTTCAAAATCATTGTTTCTGTCCGGCTAAGTGGGGAAAAATGTATTAGCGTCAATAAGAAAGTTTACTGGGTATAAATTTATTGAGCCAGGATGGTGACTTTAAAATTTGGCATCCAAAAAAAAAAAACTGGCATTGAAAACACAACCAGTACTGAAAACAGTTGTATTGGCATTGAAACAAGTATTGGCACTGAAAAAAGAAACTAATTAAAATAATTAAAATCTTAAAATCTTATTATTTTACATAGGATTTTTTTGTATTTTTCAATGACAATCTTCAGATTTTTTCTTCATGTCACTTTTTTTTTCAGTGACAGATTCTTTTACGTCAGCTTTTTTTCAGTGTCACTGATTTTCAGTTTCAACTTTCTGTCACTGTTTTGGCGTTGAGAGGGAGGGGTCTGAGGGGAGGGGCAAGTAGAGCGTGGTTTGCATATAATTTGCATATCAGCACACTCAGTACACATTTCCCGGCCCGCTCGGCCATTGCCGATGGTCGGGACCAAAGGCTCGGTTCGGGTCGCGCTTGATTTTGAAATAAAAAATCCGTCGTGCGGCTCATTAGGGTATCTGCCTCGCTGAAGCTCACACAGACTGAGCAGCAACGTTGGGCACAAACACTCCTCTCTTTCTCTGAGGCTCTCTGTCACAGCACTGCAGGCACACACACACACACACACACACACACACACACCAAGTTGCGTGTAACTAACATAGACACAACATAATAAATTATATGAATATTGAAATCCTTGCATTATATTATTTCATTTAACCTTTATTTAACCCGGCCTAACCTGGCCTGGGATGGTAACAAATTCCGGGCCTGAATTATTGTCCCAGTCCACCCCTGTGGGCATACTGAAGAAGTACGTCTCTTTTCCGGAACCCGCTGTCCGCTCTGAAGCCTCTGGCATGGTGGCATTACTAAAATGTCCTGTTCACTGGGAACTTCCAAAACGCAAGTAAGTCTGTTTTTTTTCTCTGCCAGTTACATGTTTATTCACATGCAAAAGTATGCTTCAGTATGCATACGGATATGCAAATTATATGCAAACCATGCTCTACTTGCCCCTCCCCTCAGACCCCTCCTCTCAATGCCAAAACAGTATACAGTGAGTATAAATTATGTTCTCAGAAGTAGCCTCAAGTGTTCTAGATGGTTAAAAACACTTTTAACAAACAGCATGTCTCTTATGTGGAATAACTAAAACAATAATGTATTATTTCAGCAACTGCAAACTATTGTCAATGTTGTTAAATATTTTTTGGTTGGATATCCAAAATATTTTCAAGGAAAGAGAAACCACTTACCTTCATGGTCAAAGGCTACAAACAAGAGAGAGAAAATATATTAGATTAACAATAAAAAAAAACTTTTTTATAAGTCAAAATTTGAATTCCTTTAAATGTAGTTATCATGCTGAGACTTTATTGGACAGTTTTATTAATGACAATATAAAACATATATTTTATATTTAAAATAATACATTTTGAAAAACAGGAAGAGACTTTGTTAAAAATTGTTGTGACTTACCATTGTCTTGATGTCCAGCAAAAGCCTACCCTGGCAGGGACTGGCAAAGCTAGCTGAACAATTTCAATAGAAATAATCTATTATTTCATACTACTGCCTCTAATTATATATATAAAATTTAGGTTTGTTCGTAAGTAGGTTTACCAGTCCCGTCAGGGTCTGCAACTCAGTTTACAAATAAGGTATATCACAAGTCACAAATGTTTTTTGAAAGTTGGAATGAATGTTGGCTCTATATAACTCCTTCCCTCGGCCAATCAATTCTGTTGTTTCCATGCCAAGTTTCATTGCGTACCTGACCACACCCACAGTTGCACTACACCTGTTTAGTTGAAAACAAAAGTTAAACATTGTAAGGAACAACAGAATTGAAACTGAAACAAGGAAAAGGTGAAAGATTTACTGTCAATAGAGTGATTCATTCACACTGTCACATTCATGTAAGGCCTACACATTTTTTACACACACTTTCTTTTAACAAGTTAGAAATAGTTACCATTGTTATCTGTTTTGAGTTTAATTCATTTTACTAAAATAAACTTTAAGTTTTGACTAAATTTAATAATTTAATTTAATATGATGTTTAAATATATGTATATATGTATGCATCAGATGATGAATTTAAGTATCATCCTGTGAGAAGCTGGTCTTGCAGGGTTCATGGGAATCTTTATTATTCCCGAGGGACAATTTGTTATACAGCCAGCAGTATATCCATAACCAACGAACAACAGACAATAACCAATAACTAAGTAAAGTCCATAAATACAATCCAAATATTACATACAATAAATGAAAAATTATGCCCCATTAACCCTTTAACACCAGAGCCACAAACAGGTTGCCTTTTCCAGGATAACTTCAGCTTTGATTATCTGGCATTTATTTAGCTGAATGTGGAGCATTTGTGGAGCATTTAAAGACAGTGAGAAAGGCAGATGAGATTGGCTCTGATGGCCTTTAACAACCCTCAACACACTCAGTGTTTATGTACAGTTTGGAAACAATAGCTCTCTTGTGCACCGATATGCTGCATGGACACCAGACACCAAACGAAAACACTCACTGTGCCACCACTGTACCTGTGTCTTGTTCACACGTCTCTGTAAAATGTAATCTGTACCTTTTCAGTATTCTTACAGTCAGTCATATCGCTGAAATACATTCCTCCATATATATGTTACATATACAAACATACATATATAGTTCTTCTCCATAATGAGGAACAGCATGCAGTAATAAAACGTATTATTTCAGGGGTTTTTTTTCAATTTCATGAAATAATTAACCAGTTATTAAATAAATACAAATCATTATTTATATTATTATTATTATTTTTTTTATTTATTTATTTATTTATTAGTATTGTTGTATCATTTGAGGTCAATTATGGTGGTGTTTGGTATAAAATAGTGTTCCAAAAATGTTCATTTATTCATTGTTTAACAACCATTTCATGCCTTATAATAAACAATTTGTAATTAAGATTGTGCCGATCTTAATTGCAAATTCTAAATGCTTAAAGCATGCAGACGTGCTCATAATGATTATGCGAACATGCTGATACTAAGTATAATGTTAACTATGTTCACCACTTTAGTACATTTGCTAATTAGCACTAAACATAAATTACAGTACAAAATCAACGTTTTAAAAAAAGTGCATTTCTGGTGATAAAGCAAACTATTGGACAAATTACAGTTTTGATGTGATTAGTCAGAAAATCACAAAGTGGTTACACTTCATCTTGAGGGGAACATGAATCCATTCAATTTTTATATTTCACAAACAACATAAAAGTGGATGAAATTCAGTTGTTTACTGAATTGTTCCCATCTGCTTTATCTCTCACAGAGTTTAATATGATTCAACTTTGACCTGTGAAATAGTGTGAGACTCTCCAATGTCCAGCCAATTATAGAGAGAGGGTGGGATCAGATCATTGACAGGATGGAGTAGATTAACAACTTGACCAAGACGCACTGATTGCTCATATGCTCGGTCATTTCTTGCTACTTGGGCAGCAGAAACAAGCTGTAAAGAACACTGATAGTATCACTCTTTAAGCTGATATGGCCAACCTGTTAGCAAACTGTTCACTGTTCACTGTGCACGTCCAGCAGTTATGGAGCAACAGCAGCATTTATTTATAATAATAATAATAATAATAATACATTTAATTTATAATTTATTATATATATTTAGTGCTTTTCCAGAAACTTAAAGACACTTCACATAAGTTAAAAGGAAAAGAAAATAGCACTTCTGAAAAGGGGGATTTGATCAGTGATTTGAAGTTGGATGGATCAATACAGTCTCTGATTTGTTTGGGGAGAGAGATCCAGAGGGAGGGGGCAGCTATGAAGAAGGCTCTGTCGCCCCAGGTATGATGCTTGGTCCTCAGTGGTGGAGACAGGAGGTTGGCATCAGAAGAGCGGAGGCTTTGGGAAGGAGTGTGGCGATGGAGCAGGTCTGCAAGGTGGGAGGGGGCCTGGTTGTGGGGGACTTTAAGTTGTGTTTGAGCCAACAGGATGAATCCAAGTCCAATATTCACTCTCCTTCACGCCATTTGGTCTTGGCTTTTTAGCTGCTAAATGCTCAGATATTCTATGGTGAAAAGCAGGCAATGGACTTGAATTGATGTGCACAGAATAGTAAGCATAAGCTGTGGAAACTAACATTCAAGCAAGCAAAATATACATGTTGTTTGTGATGAAGGAACAAACCAGAGTCTCAATTTAAAAATATTTATTCATAGACTAATCAAACAACAAACAATAATTGACAGTAATTGTAATTGATAACTACAGTTTATGTTTTACGGTCCTTTTTAATCAATTCGACATATTGGTATTTGTTAAGGGATCTGATAAAGATGGAAAGGGCTGCTATTCCCCAAAGACGTCTGAAATTCTAGAAAGGCATGAACTGTTGCAGTTTTTAGATCTGCTGCTATTTCTTTTCCAATGTGAAACACAAAACAGTTTTCAACCATTTTTTTCCAGTTCTTTCTCAAATTTTCCAAGATTTCATCCTGCACTACTGCAGGAAATTCTAATGAAGAAATGAATTCCTCTCCACGGAGCAAATGTTCTTTAAAAGTATGTGAACTTGTTCCCAGTTTCACAAGAGCATCAAGAGCATCTTCAATAGCATCTATATAGATGGTATCATCAGACCGTGTCTCATAGATATCATCAACTTTAACTTTATTTATGAAACTCTTTAATTTAAAGGGGGTTTCCCTGAATTCTTTAAAATATCCGAAAAAAATACAGCTCCGAGATGAGATGTTGGAATATTCGAGAGACTTAAAGAGACTTGGTGTAAATGACCCCCAACAGTTTCTGAATCCCACTGAAGTAATAATCCCATATTCATTGTACCACTGATAAGCTTTTTCTATAAGTTGTAACATACAACAAGGAATATGTTTTTCCTTCCCATGTCTTTTTAAACATGGGCTATTCACTGTATAAAAGGAAATACTTTGCACTTTAGTTACATTGCTCCGAAGATATTCATCAATGTCTCCAATTAAAATTTCCTCGCTGTGTTTCGAACATTCAGATGTCTTTTTTAAAAGAACTGGTTTAACCTTGGGAAACTCCACACATTCATCATTTCTCAATACAAGAACAGCAGATGCATATTGTTTCTCCTTCCCCCCATTATTCTCATGAAAATATATCGGGGGAGTATGTAAGGGCCCATGAGCAGACACTCTTTTCAAAAACAATTCAAAAATGCGACACTTAAGTTTTGGCCGATTACTATTAACTTTATGGGGGGACTGTAAATGTGACTTATTTGTATTTACAGTATTTAAATACATTTTACGAATTAAATCAATTGTATCCAGCAATTCAGATATTAGTAAATTACTTTTTTTGGGACTTCTATTGCCTTTATTGTTAATGACAGCTGAAGTTAGCATGGGGTGACACTCAGCAAATCCACATAGGCCTATATTAGAAATGGGATCATTGTCCTCTCCAGGATCTTCTTGCTGATGGTCTTCTTCCCTGGAGAATGAAAAGGTACAACAACACGTCAAGAGAGACTGTCGTCCCAAGAAAAGTGACAGAACCAAGTCATTTTTGAGCCTAAACTTAAACAAACGTCAACCATATATGAATCATCATAAAACATATTTGTTTTTCAACAGTGATTTGAAACAGGTTTGGAAGGCACAGATACATTGTATCACAGCTGTTGTTTTGGATTGCATTGGATCAGTACCTCATAAACTGGCTCAGTAGTTTGCAAAGTTGATATTTATAAAGTTGATGTCTTTTGAATGTATCTCTTTCAAGATATAGGCCCACTATTTGGTACTACATGTGTGCAGCGTGTTGAATCCTCTCAGGAGCTTGCAATATATTTGTTCCTCCACTGTTGAGGGCGGTGACCAAGGTTGATATAGTTAACTACTGCCACAGGTGGGAGTTGAACCCATGGCCACTGCAACAAGGCCTCTTGGTACAGGAAGTGCCAGCTCTCAGTTGAAGTTTGATACATTTGACCCATTTAACTTTACATAAAATATAAAATTCAATAATATTAAAGTCCAGATGAAATAAAAAAATGTAATTTTAATAAGTTATATTGTACCCCTATTGAACGATGTATGCCAATTTCTTTTTTACAAAAACTCAATTTCTTTGTATTTTTCTATCAAAATATATTAACTAACAGATCTGAGTCCCTCCCTAGCTGCTTGTTTTTACAGGAAATACATAAATATGTGGAAATGGCACTGAATGTGGCAGTGCATTAGTTTGAAGTCAAGACGAACACATTATTAATTTGTTATCACGAGAAAACTATTTTTGTTATGTCGGGATAACTAAATAATTAATTTTTGACCTTGAGAAAACAAACTTAGGTACAAGAGCTGCCACAAACGGCTTCTGTAGCCACTGGCTGTAGCTGTCGCCTACCAGTAAGTTACACTTTACATTGGTTTGTTTACTTGACTGGAAGCCGTTGTGGCAGCTCTTGTAGGTTGAAATCAAGACAAACACATTATTAATTAATAAGTTATTACGAGAAAACGATCTTTGTTATATCGAGATAACGAGATAATAAGTCGTTATCACAATATAACAGTGCATAAAAATAAAAAAAATCCATGGCCGTTCTCAGCTTCCCTAGATTTCTGTTTCATTTTGACTTTTAGTAAAGCCATCAAATGCCCTAATTGGCACAAACATAACTTAACTGTGGTAAATTAATAATGTTAAAAATATTGGCTATTATCAAACATTATTAAGTGCGTCATTCTTTAATTATTATATCATTTAACATTTACTGAAGTGACGATGGTTGTTAGATTTGCTTACTAATTCCATCTTTTCACATTTACTTATCTCAGCAGTTTCATGGGACCAGTTGACAAAACTTGATTGAGTAAATACAGCATTTTATTTGTACCTCTCCGGTGGTGTGAGTCCTTGTTCTGTCAAACTGTTTGATGACATCTCTTTTCCAATTTCTGTTGGCTAAGTGGGGAAAAATGTATTAGCATCTATTAGAAAGTTAACTGGGTATAAATTATGTTCTCAGACGCAGCCTCAAGTGTTCTGGGTGGTTAAATACAGTTTTAACAACCTTATGTGAAATAACTAAAACAATAATGTTATATTTCAGCAACTGCAAACTGTTGTCAAGGATGTTGAATATTTTTCCCTTTGAAAAACTGTCTTTTGGTTGGATATCCAAAATATTTTCAAGAAAGAGAAATCACTTACCTTCATGGTTCAAACGCTACAGACAAGAGAGAAAAAATATATTAGATTAACAATAGAAAAAACATTGAATTCCTTTAAATTTAGTTATCATGCTGAGACTTTATTGGACAGTTTTATTAATGACAATATAAAAATATTTTGAAAAACAGGAAGAGACTCAGTTCAAAATTGTTGTGACTTACCGTTTTCTTGGTGTCCAGTAAAAGCCTACCCTGGCAGGGGCTGGCAAAGTTACCTGAACAATTTTAATATAATTGTATTATTTCGTACTACTACCACTAATTTTGTAAGCTATATAAAATGTAGGTTTGTTCGTAAGTAGGTTTACCAGTCCTGGCAGGGTCCGCAACTCATTTTTCAAATAAAGAATATCACAATAAAAAAAAAATTCTGAACGTTGAAATGAATGTTGGCTCTATATAAACCCTTCCCTCGGCCAATCAATTCTGTTGTTTCCATGCCAAGTTTCATTGCGTAGCCTATACAGAGGCTGGAATGCTGTTTTTCAAGTTTAAAGCTTGACGCAAGCACAAATGTGTGTTTGTAAATGTTAATATACTGAGAGAATTGATAATTAATAAAAAAACAATACAGAGTCACACAATGCACGGGGTAAGTTCAGAGGTGGATCATGACCTGTCTCTGAGGCCAAGATAAAAAAGAAAGATGTGCAAGCTGAAGGCAAATAATCAGTAATTTACTTAAAGAAAAGAGGATAACTGCAATCCAAAAGGAACTACAGATACAACGATGTGTGTTTATCAGTAACGTTTGAGTGACAATGTATGCGTGAGTGCGACCTATAGTGAGATTAGTGTTGGATGGCTGAAAATAACACAGCAAAGTGCAGGATAGAAGAGAGAGACCCTCGGCCAGAAAACTCCGGGCCCAGGTGCTTTCAACTACGCTGGTCCTCAGTTACCTTCTGCATAAAAGAAACAAATCATAGATTTAAAGAAAATGTAAAAATACCAGGGGATCGTCACATTTTCTCACCTTATATGTCTAAACATCATAAATTAAACATCAAAACAGATAACAATGATAACTAACTCTAACTCTTAACACTGTTTAGAAATGTATACATGAATGTGGCAGGCCGCTTCACTGTGCTGAATTGTAATGGGAAGTTAAATGTGGCTATATTCTTTTCCATATCTAGTCATATAGTAAATCTTTCACCCTTTCCTTGTTTCAATTTAAGAAATTATTTCACTTCTGTTGTTTGTTTATTAAACAGGTGTGATGCAACTGTGGGTGCGGTCAGACTACGCTATGGCTTGATGAAACTTAGTGGCACGCTATGGCTGCTTGTACTATTTTTATCCTTCTTAAAGTGACTAATCTGTTATTGCCAAGTTTAATATGTACTGTATGTGGAGGCTAGAATGCTGGTTTTCAAGTTTAAATGGTGGAGTAACAATGCGTTTAATGAGACAAAGCTAACAAGCTGGTGAACATTTCAGTTCTGGTCTGACCACACCCATAGTTGCACTACACCTGTTTGGTTGAAAACAAAAGTTAAACTTTTATATGGAAAAGAATATAGCCACATTTAACTTCCCATTACAATTCAGCACAGTGAAGCTGCCTGCCACATTCATGTATACATTTCTAAACAGTGTTAACCAGTTAGAGTTAGTTATCATTGTTATCTGTTTTGACCATATTTAACCCTTTCATGCATTAATTATGATAACCTTAGTCAGGATTTTTTTTACTAAGTGTTTTTTTTTCATCTTTAGGCATGAAAAACAAGATTTGAACTTTATTTTTTTTCAACCCATATTTTATAAAGATACATGTCCACTGAGGTGGACAGCATACATTTTTGTAGAAATGTGTATTTAACAAACAAATGGATAAAATTATATAAAAAGTGATGTGAACTATAAAATAATATAATTTATGCATGCATAACCAAAACACCATTGAGAAATTCACTCTCCTGTATAGATTCCCAAGTCTGTCGCTCATGATCCATCGACTATCCGCCATAGTAAGGTGCACTGCCCCAGCACTGACTTACACTGAATGTTTTTATGGTTAGCTTTACTGCAAGGAAACCTACTCTAAACTTTGCCTGCACATCAAAATCAGAACTAAAATAACCCTAACCCTTTTTTTTCCTTGCAATAGCTTGTCACTGGGTGTCAGTGTATGGGATGATGCAATAGCATCCACTGAAGTGGCTGATGTGCAACTATGCCATCAAAACTCAATCATATACAAGAAAACAGCTTTTGAATAGCTGTACACTGCAGTGACCTCTATGCATGAAAGGGTTAATAACACTCTTCCATGAGGTATTACTGCAGTGTTACATAGAGTCAGAGGGAGTAGTGGAGAGAAATGAGGTTGAGAGTTTACTCATCTGTTTTCAGATTAGGATTATTAGGATTTCAGATTATTCAGTGAGGGGAAATAAAATGAGAAAATGTGACAATCCCCTGGTTTGTTTACCTTTTCTTTAAATCTATGATTTGTTTCTTTTATGCAGCAGGTAACTGAGGGCCAGCGTGATCTCTGTATTGTTTTTCTTCATTATCAATTCTCAACTCTCAAATCAATTCTATTAACACCTACAAACACACATTTGTGTTTACGTCAAGATTCCAGCCTCTGTATAGGCTACACAATGAAACTTGGCTAAGATTTACACACAGCCAACAGCCTTTCCTTTCTAAAAATCGTTTGACCCTGCTGGGGCTGGTAAACCTGCCAACTAAACAACCTACATTTTACTGGCAGTATAATTACTGTTAAAGTAGTGGGAGGAATACAATTTTTGCAATAACATGTAATCTGTACTTTTCAGTATTCTTACAGTCAGTAAAATCGTTTAATTCCTCCATATATATGTTACATATACAAACATACATATATAGTTCTTCTCCATAATGAGGAACAGCATGCAGTAATCTCACTCATTAATGAGATAATTAACCAGTAAGTAAATAAATACAAATAATTTTTTAATGCTTTATAAGTAAAAGTGATTACATTTTTATTCTTTATGGGTTTCTTATTAGTATTTTTGTATAATTTGAGGTCAATTATTTTTGTGTTTGGTATAAAATAGCGTTCCAAAAAGGTATTCATTGTTTTACAGCCATTCCATGCCTTATAATAAACAATTTGTAATTAAGATTGTGCCGATCTTAATTACAAATTCTAAATGCCTAAAGCATGCAGACGTGCAATCGTAATGATAATGCGAATATGCTGATACTAAGTATAATGTTTACTATGTTCACCACTTTAGTTATAAAAGTTAGATAGTTAGAAACTTGTTAGCAGGCTCACATTTGCTAATTAGCACTAAACATAAATTACAGTACATTACAAAAATCTACGTTTGTGCATTCTGGTGATAAACCAAACTATGTGACAAATACAGTTTTGATGAGGTTAGTCAGAAAATCACAAAAATGGTTACATTTCATCTTGAGGGGAACATGAATCCAATCAATAGTTATATTTCATATTTCAACATAAAAGTTGTAAAAACTAAAACTCTTGCTTATTAACACGTCCAGCAGTTATGGAGCAACAGCAGCATTTATTTGGAGTTGTGTTTGAGCCAACAGGATGAATCCAAGTCCAATATTCACTTTCTTACGCTCTATTTGCGAGCTGTTTCTTGGTTAAAGTGGTGAAGACATCTCTTCTTTGACTTTTTCAAGAATTCCTGGAACTTGCTTGCTTCTGTCCGGCTTAGTGAGGACAAAAATAGATTTATTACCATATATTAAAGAAGTGTATATTAAAAAACTGAAAAATATGACGTTAAACGTTTTAACAGCGATCTTCTATGAGGTGTCACTACAGTGATATTATACTTTGACTCGCTCAGTATATTAGGATAACACTTAATAACACGCATTGTTACTCCACCCTTTAAACAGGAAAACCAGCATTCTTCCTCCACAGTACAATTACAGGCGCTTTTCGACATAGTTTTTATTCACAGTGTTTCGTTGAATCAGAGGGTGTAGTGGAAAGTAAACCCTGGTAAAGCCAGTTTGACTCGATTAACACTTACAAACACACATTTGTCTGTAGTCTTTGACCACGGACCTAAGGATTTTGGATATGTCAACAAAAGACGTGAGTTTGCAGTTACTAAAATATTACATTATTGTTTTAGTTATTTCACAGAGACAAGCTGTTTGTTAAAACTGTGTTTAACCACCCAGAACACTTGAGGCTACTTCTGAGAATTAATTTATACCCAGTAAACTTTCTAATAGATGCTAATACATTTTTCCCCACTTAGCCGGACAGAAACAACGGAGTTGGAGATGAGATGTTTCCAACCAGTTCGACAGAGCAAGAGCTCACACCATCCAAAAGGTACACTCTAAAAACATAAAATGCTTTACTTTTTTTTTTTTTTTTATTTACTCAATCAAGTTATGTCAACTGGTCCCATGAAACTGCTGAGATAAGTAAATGTGAACACGCTGCACACATGTCGTAACAAATAGTGAGCCTATATCTTGAAAGAGATACATTCAAAAGATTTGGAATGTCGTTTAGGAAATTATTATATATATAATATGGAACTTGAATATATAGAATAAAACTCTGAATATGTTGAATGATATATATATTTTAAACGTTTTTTATATATTTATATATTTTTTTCCAGTTTTCCAGTGAAACCAGTCCCCTATGAGCCGGACAGAAGCAACGATCTCGAAGGAGTTGGAAAAGAGACGTCTTCAACCAGTTCGACAGAGCAAGAACTCACACCACCCGAGAGGTACAATCTAAAAAATAAAATGCTGTATTTATTCAATCAAGTTTTGTCAACTGGTCCCATGAAACTGCTGAGATAAGTAAATGTTAAACAGATGGAATCAGTTATGGAGTTAGTAAGCAAATCTAACAACCATCTTCAATTCAGTAAATGTTAAATTATATAATAATTAAAGAATGACGCACTTGTTGTTTGATAATAGCCAATATTTTTAACATTATTAATTTACCACAGTTAAGTTATATTTGTGCCAACTGGGGCATTTAATGGCTTTACTAAAAGTCTACATGAAACCTCGAAAGAAATCAGAGTGCCATTTCCACACATTTATGTGTTTCCTTTAAAAACAAGCAGCTAGGGAGGGACTCAGATCGGTTACTTCATGCTTACATAAGAACATGTTTGTTTTACAGGAAGACAAAATGAATATATTTTGATAGAAAACTACAAAGAAATTGAGTTTTTGTAAAAAAAAAAAAAAAAAAAAGAAATTGGCACAATAGTACAATATAACTTACTAAAATTACTTTTTTTTATTTCACCTGGACTTTAATATTATTGAATTTTATATTTTTTGTCAACTTAAATGAGTCAAATGTATCAAACTTCAACTGAGAGCTGGCACCTCCTGTACCAAGAGGCCTTGTTGCAGTGGCCATATGAAATGTATGTATATGTAACTTTGAATATATGGAATGAAAATTAAAGTTTCATTCCATATATTCAAGTTTCATTCAATATAATCAGACTGTTTACAGCTGTATAGTTTAATATACGCAGCAGTTAATTTCAATAATGTTCACATCATTTTGTCCTGTAAATTAAATTAAAAGTTCAACTTTTTCATTCTCCAGGGACCATCAGCAGGAGGATCTTGGAAAGAAGAATTATCCCTTTTTTAAACCAGTTGCTGCTTTTCAAATTCATGATTTCAACGAAAATATTCAGTTTCCTAAAATCCCTTTTCCCGCCAATTTAAGGAATTCATTAATATCAGAGTTGCTGGATACAATTGATTCATTAAGTAAAAGAACCATTGATTTTAATAATTTTGAGAGGCCAGTTTGGAAATCATTATCCAAAGGAAAAATATTTAATAAGCCTATTGTTGGAGTGTCTGCTTGTAGGCCATTCCAGACTTTCCTGAAATATTATCAAGAGGAGGAGAAGAACAAGAACAAGAAGAACAAGAAGACACAATATGCATTTGCTGTTCTTGTATTGAGGAGTGGTGAATGTCTGTTTTCTCCCGGGGTTGGACCGGATTATTCAAAAGCGACGTCTGAATTTAATATACACAGCGAGGAAATTTTAATTGGAGAAATTGATAGATATCTACGAAGCAATGGAACCAAAGTGCAAGCTATTTACATTTATACATTAAATAGCCCATGTTTAAAAAGAAATGGGAAGGAAAACCATATCCTTTGTTGTATATTAAAACTTTTACACAAAGTTTATCAGTGGTTCAATGAATATGGGATTTTTACTTTTGTTGGATTCACAAAGTGTTGGGGGCCAGTTACAGAAAGTTTCTTAAATTCTCTCACATATTCCAAAATCTCATCTGTGAGAAGTAAAAATTTACAATATTTTTCAGAATTCAGTCAGAAAACCTCCTTCATATTAGACAGCAAAGATTTCAGAAAAAATGTTAACGCTGATGGTGCCTCTCAATTAATATCTAATGTTGAACCCCAAGATAGAAGCAAACTATATTCTGATATTAAATCTGCTGTTGATCGTCTTGTAGAACAGGGAAAAAGTTCACTTGATTTGGAAGAACATATGGTCCGTGGAGACAAATTAATTTCTTCATTTAAATTTCCTGCAGTGGTGCAGGATGAAATCTTTGAAATTTTGGGAAACAACTGGAAAGAAATGGTTACCAACAGTTTTATGTCAGTTATTAGAAAAGACATACAAACTGTTAACACTTCAATAGTTCAAGCTTTTGTACAAAAACTTCAGATGTCTTTGGGGAATAGCAGCCCTTTCCATCTTTATCAGATCCCGTTAACAAATGAAAATATGTTGAATTGATTGAATTCTTTTATTTTTATCTTAATTTTGTTTTTTTTTTCCTTTTATAATTTTTTTTTAATATAATATCACAAGGACATTTAACATTTAGTAAAGTAAATGTGTTCTTTTTAATATGAAATACTAAATGGTTGTGAGAATGTTAGTAACAACTATTTAGTTTTATTAAAAATGTATTTTTAGAATTAATACATTAACTGAGTAACAATTGTAATTAGTGTACTAATTATTGTTGAAACTCATGTTTTATTTTGTTTGGTTGATGATTTATTTTATCAATAAACATTTTAAAGTTGAGACTCTGTGTTTTGTTCCCTCACCATCAACAACATGTGATTAAACCATTAACCGTCTCTGGTTATCTATAGGCATGTGTGGACATAAATAGGTCAATAAACAACAACAAGAAAGCCTCCAGAGTCAGGAACAGATCTTGTAAAATAGACATGAGAATAAAATAATGCTTTTGTTAAATAAAAAAAGTCAGTTTATAGTTCTATCTAAAACATATAAAACTGTATCTTAACTAGGAGTGCTCTGTTAGGGCTGTGAAGTTGTTTAACTGTTGCTTCATCAGATCCACTCACACTCTTTGTTGTCACAGAATAAAGATAGAGGCACAAAAGGGTTATAACATACACATCTGGTTTCAAGTGTACAACAACAGGTAGCAACTCACTGATTTAGTTTCCTTTATTAGTAGTTTTATTACTGATACATGACCTTGTTAGATACCATTGTCTCAGCACATGTACAGTAATCCTTTTTGAGATGGAGCTTTGAGAATTGGCACAAACAATATACAAATAAACATAACCTGTATACAATACTGATATTAAACAGAAAATAAAAAAACAATAAATATCCAAAAATGGAATGAGCACAACGATAGAAATGCAGGATTGCATCTTCATTTGACAAAATGTATTTTAATTATGTGCCATCTTCTTTTTAATTTAGTGCAAACATTAAGTTATGAAGAAAAAATTAAAAACAGTCTGAGTAGCAGTAGTAGTAGTACATAGCAGGATGTGAATGTACAAACATCAATTTAGACTCAGCCTAGAGATTCCCTACTTTGTGATGAAGATGAGTTAAAATGTCTTAATGAGAAAAGACAGAGAAAGAAAAGTTAACATGTTTAAAAACACACAAAATAAATCACTTCTAAGTCCAAACTGATGAAGTCTGAGCTTCTTCTGGTTTCAGAACATTTGATTTGTCAAGAATTTAAAAAGAAAAGCACACAAATGATTAAAAAAAAAGAAAAATGTAATTGATTTAAGCCCAGAGAAGGAATAAGGCAAGCAAGCTCATACTGTATATACAGTCACAGTTACTATTTACATTGTGTTTACATATGGTTTAGTAACTTTACCAACAGTTGAGGTGGAGTTTGTCTCCCTCTACTGGTTCATACTAGTGTCACACTGCAGTAATGAGTGCAGAAGTAGTCACATGCTTTTTAAATCTTTCATCACAGAGCACCCAGGCCCTATGCAGTGGCTGGCGACCAGAACCAAAGTCCAGTGTTTAGAAAACACCCACAGCCTGGTCTGACACTCCCTCCACATCTGAAACAACAGCACGGGGATGAGAAAATAATTCCTCACAGTCTCCTGATGTTGGTTTTGGTTTAATTATTTCCATATTGCTTTGTCCTTGCTTCTAAAGATAAGTAGAAATATTATAAAGAGGCAACCACACAGCGGGGTAAAAGGAGTGAGGAAGTGCAGAGCTACTCCACGTCTTTCTCATGTTGAACACAAACACACATTTCTACTGTGGTGAAAGCAGATATGTTACCTCACAAACACAGGCAACTCTTCTATGACTAATGTATTTTATCGGGAGGGAGCCCAGTTACAGTGTTACCTTAAGAGGCCCGAATATGCACAACTGATCTTACTTATTACTAATATCACGTGACCAAAAAGAACTGACTCAACTAGAAGTGTAATAAAACAATGATGGTGGAGGAATATAACTTCGAGAGTGATGCATAGATGGATAACTAAGCCAACACTCAACAAAAAAACACTCCATCACCAGTACTGCACATGACTTCAAAGTCGCATTAAAAAGCAGTGAGGAAGAAAGTTGCCATTAGCGAGATCTGAACCTAGCAGAGCCAGACTCACTCAGAGGTATACAGGCTTAATGAGGGGGGAAGCTAGTCTTTAAACTCCTCCACAAGCTGTGAGGCCTAAAATGAAGTCAAAAAATGTTATAATTAAGGTAAACTAAAGAAACCAAAGCACAAGTATTCCTGTAAAATTAGACTTGAGTTTCTTGAGCTAGGACAGGGTGGTGGCTGAATGACAAAAGTGGGAACTATTAGGTCTGGAAGAGAAAATAAGGACGTCTACAACCATCAGTCAGTGCAGGTGTTAAAGTCTCAACCGCCTTACTTCTCTTCTAAAAAAGGCCAAATGTCTGTGCTTCCGAGACATCAGCATCTGAGGATTTCTACCACCATGGCCGGGTCCAGATGAGGACCCAGACTTGGGCCTTCACAAATCTGGATGGTGAGATTTTTTACATTTCAACTAATACAATGTAGGAGTAAGCACAGAGGAGTAAATAATGGGATATTTTACAGGAGATACTTCAACCAAAAACAGCCTCGATTAAGAATATCTGCAGCAGAAAATGAATCGGTAACATCAATCAGACTGAAAAACTGCACAAGGCCAGCTTATGTTCTCACCTAATAAGGGGACTGTATGTCTAAGGAGAGGATAAAGGGGAATTTATAAATATATCACTAATCATTATCAGATTAAAAGAAACATCCCGACTGTTAAATCAGAGATGAGCTCACAGTAATTAAAGAGACAAAATATGCAACGACCCGGTAAAACTTAAAAGAACTGTTCCCAACCTAAAGGAGGCCACATACTGCTAAAAAACAAACCTGCACTTTGCTCTAAAAACCAGCAAGAGTGACACAATTTTCAGTGCTTGATATATATATATATATATATATATAGAGAGAGATATATATATAAATGTGTTTGTGTGGAGACCAACAGAGGAAGAAGGGCCTGCAGGCTGTGGGGGAGCGAGTGTCGGCCGATGGATGTGAACAGCAGGCCTCATGGTGGCGTCTCTGCATTGCTAGTCGTGGTCTTTTTCTTTGTCGGCTTTTTCACCATCTTGGTTTGAGTCTTGAAGAGGGAGAGGAGGGACAGGGAGGGAGGAGAAAGTCAAAAGTAGTTAAGAGTTGTTCAAATGAGAGGTCCAGAATAGGTTCGACTAACGTTGGGTGATGTATCAAGTTTATACTACACCAAAAAGGGCAGTCCACCAATTTTACACAAGCTCAGTTTACTCTTCATGGAGAGGCGTATAATACTGTTAAGCAATTGTATAATGTCTTCGGTGACACTACAGATATAGGCGATGGGATAATGAACTAAACATGGTGAAGAAACAAGCACAATATAACTTCACTGCAACATTTTTATTGACATCCGCTCAATCAAAGTTGAAGAAAGACTGACCAGCCAATGTGCCGGAGCCAGTCAGAGAGAGAAGACGCCAAATACGGGAAACACATGCTTGAAATCGCTCAGACAGATCAATACACATGAAAAGGAAATGGAGCAACTACTCATACTGTAGGATGGAAGTGTAACCTTTCAGCTTGAGACTTCAAATGTTTGTTAAACAGCAACTAAGGGATTTAAGTTGAAGGTTGAGGTTTTAAGGTGCATGAGTGGTTTAGTCAAAGATGCTATATTGTAGGATCCAGCAATGACTCATAAGAGGGACTAAAAGTCTGGATATTTCAGCATCTTTTTAAAAATCTGTTCCTTGCAAGTCCCATCTTTGTGGAAGTGCACTTAAGTTATTAAAATTATCACAGACATCACATTCTTTTCCCCCACTGAAATTATATTTTATTTTGAATATTGAGCTATTGCAATATGGAAGTACAGCAATCTTTGTCACCTAAAACCAAAATCATCAATCAAAACTCTTATTTTTTTTGGAAATGGATCTGTAATTCAGTCTGTTAAAAAAATAAGATATATTTAATTTGAATTGTTTGTAACACATTATTCTATTACACTCTCTTCTTAGGTAAAATATACAGCACTGAAAACCATAAAATAAATTAGCCTTCATTCATTCTGACCTGCTCTTGACTGTGTGTGTGTGTGTGTGTGTGTGTGTGTGTGTGTGTGTGTGTGTGTGTGTGTGTGTGGTTTTCATTGTCCCTACCTCTGTCTTAGCAGCGGCAGGTTTCTTGGTTGCCTTGACGCTAGTAACACGTTTAGGGGCTTTTTCTCCCAAATCTTCATCAGAGTGTTCAGTCCTTGTGTCTGATTGGTCAGAGCTGTGTTGGGATGACGCGTCATCAGCAAGGTTTGTGGCTGCCAAAGAGCGGGCTGTAGGATTGGACAAAAAATGGCGGTCAATCAATGAGAAAGAAGCTCAGGATTCAGATTTAAAGCAGGTGGGAAAAACAACAACAACAACAACAACAGGTAATTCACCACAACAACAAGACAAATCATTAATTAGCCAGATGTCTCCAATTATTTGCCTCTGATGTGAATGTGTTTTATTCTATAAACATTTAAATGCAAAAACCTCCTTTTCCCATTAATTTAGAAGACTTAAACAACTGTTTAAAAGTGTTCATTTGCAGACCACTACATCACTGCAGACAGTCTCTCACACCACCCAGTGGCCACATTTCAAACTACAGTTTTTATTTCCACCAGTTTTAAAGTTGGATGTTGGCTATTTGATAAAGGCCTCACTAAATAGGACTCTCTTCTGCCCAGCTACCATTGCAGTATCTGGGTTGATAAATATCCAGACAGGGCCATCAGAGGTGTGTCTATAGCTACAGGAGCAGCAGAGAGGGCTAACCAAAGGGTAAGCTTGCCTACAGGATATGGAAAAACAAAACTAGCCTCTTTCACTTGGCTTGAAAGTCAAACTAAATTCAACCTTTAACCATCTACAGCAGTGGTTCCCAACATGTGGGTCTTGACCCACATTAGAAGTCGCAAAGCTTCACAGGAGGTTGCTAAGCCTTCTTGATTTTAATGGGTTGTAAGAAAACTTAAAAATGTACTCTGACTGGTGTTTGAAGTTGCACATGGTTTCTTTGTTAGAAATTAAAATGTGCCACTTCGCTCTGTTCTCTCATTGTTTCTCTCTCTCTCTGTATTCAGTTCACAGCTCGTAGGCCCACACGGGCAGGCAGTCGGCAGTGTAGTGAGACACAAAGAGTCCTCCTTCCAAGCCTCTCCTCCCACTGGAATCACATGCTCTCTCTCCCCCCCACTCCACACTTTGCATCCCCTCCTCTTTGCTGCCATCCTGCAGTGCTTTAAATCACATGATTCCACTTGGCCCGCCCAGCCCCAGTCCTGCTCTTAAGTAAAAAGTAAGTCCACTGAGTGACACGCTGGCCCAATCAACTAACACACAGTATGTATGTATTTATTCAGTTGTGTGCGACTCCATGCCTCTCCATGTGAAGCTGATAATGAAGCAATGTGGTCATGCATGTTGTGTGGCCTTACTCTGCCGTGCAGCAGTGCTTTTGGCCCGGGGCAGCGTGCTTGCCCCTGAGCTCATCTCGTCCAAGTGGTCCCGTCTCATGCGGGCGTCTGTGTGCAGAACCAGGTCATCGTCAGCGTTGATGAGAGTCAGGTCCTGCATGCTGAAACTCCGCAGCTTGTCTGACAGCACGCCCTGCCCCTGGGCATCACAGCAAAACCAAAAAGAAACGTCAGATATGTGACAGCATAAAAAGATCTTTCCCTTACCTCTGCATCAGATCGGGCAGCCAGTAGTACCATTGGGTGACTATTTCAGTCTGAACCTCTGCATTTTCCTCCCCTTCTGCTATCTGTGCATAACCGTCCCCGTCACTACGCAAAACAACAACCACAACCTCTGAGCTAGCGACCTACACGTTGAAATTGGCAAGTTACCCTAACCCGGTACGAACATAAACAAGCTAGCAGCTGTTACCTTTTCTTTTGCTGGGATTTAGTCGTTTTAATTCCAGGGCTCGCCTCCCCACGTACGTATATTCCACTAAATAAGTTTCCCCCTCTACATTATTTTGCAAAGACACCATCATCGCATCCTGGGTGTAGTGTTGCTCAAAACAATTGTGATTGGTTTAAAGAAATACAAAACAAGCAAGGGCATTTTTTTCCCCTTATACCAGAATGATAATGGGCTCTCACTCCGTAAGAGAAACACATGACTCACCTTGGCGGCTGCAGTGACAGCAGCATTAGCAGCCAGGTTGAGACCCCTCTTTCCAAACCTCATCATGGTCTCATAACTCCTGTCTTTGGCCTGTGCGATGTATTCATCTATCTCCTATAACACAGACAACAATGGAAAATTAGAGCAGAGAAAGATCAGAATATGAGAAAGTAATCTGGATGTGCAAACCAGTTTACATTTGTGAGATGGACATAAAGACAACTCATGTTCATACCTTCTCTTTGTTGGACAGGGTTGGGTGGACAAACTTCCGGTAGAGGACACTGGAGCCCTTGGTGTATGGGGACAGGAGCCAGATTACAAAGGCAATCTTTAGCTCAAAGTAAAATGGAAACCTGAGTAATGAAACAGAGTGGAAAAGAAAAACAGCTTGAGGAAGGTATAGACCTCTGAGTTATAAAGAGAAAGACACAATTAAAGAAACTAAGACGCTAAAAGATCATCGTACTAAAAATATCAAGAACACTTAGCACTGGATACACACATGAATGCATCTATTGATATTATATAAGCAGTTTATTTATTACAAGCTAGTGGAGGGTCAGGATCACGAGCAGCTCCTGACTCACCATGATAGGAGCAGGTCTGTGGCCGTCTCTGCTGTCGTGAACAACGCAAATACTATCCAGTACATCATCCACTTCACCTGGACACACACACACACACACAGACAGAGGTGAGTAGAGAGAACATCACAAAAATAGCACATGAAAACCCACAGCATCCAGTGTGCACGTGCTGAGACACGTGGAGCTGAACAGACATGCCAATGCAGAAGTGCAACATATGTTTCAGTCCTGTCGGATCACATCAGTGCGCATGGTTAATCTCCCATAGACAAAGGAAATGTAGGGCATTGTCTAAACTGCGATAAACTAGGCAATTAGAGGTAACTTATGAAAGTAATACAAAACGTAGATTTAGTGGAAATACATTATCAATAATGAAACATATTGGTACATCAAATATGACTAAGTTAGGGGAAAGCAGTGCGGTATGTTCGAAGGCCCAGGCGTGCAGCCGTGTAAACGCACATAACGCTGAATCATTTGACTCATTAGAAATGAGTCAAACAAGAGGAGAGGGGAATGAAAACATCAGTTCTAAAAATGGCGTCCCGCTCTCTCTCTCCCCCCCTCTTTCTCTTCCCCTCATTTCGCTCCTTCTGTGGCCGTCTGCTTGAGTAGCGGTTGAGAGGGAGGGGTTGCCATGGTAACCTGCCAGGAAGAGACTGTTCACCAGTGCAAGTCTAGGCGGAGGGCCAGAATGCTGTATTTCCTCCTCCTCATCCTCCTCCTCTGTCTCCCGGACCCCCCCCCCTCTCTCTCTCATCCCTTGCAGTGATGAGGTAAGCAGGGAGGACCCCGACTCTCAGCCAAAGACAGAATGGGAATCTACTGATTTTTATCTCCGTTTTCCAATGGCAACACTATTTCATCTTAAACTCATCAACACTTTATTTGTTGTGCTAGATATTCTCTAGCATTTATCTTATAACGACGCCAAATCTCAAACTTTACTCCCAGCTCAGTGTTAATATTTTTCATACTTGAGCACTGACTAACTGAGAGGAAATGTGGGGATTTGCAGGCACTATAGGACTTCATGACATAATAAGGGAGTGAACGGTCAAACTATGAATCATTTTGGTATCAAGGGATTGGATAGTTTCATGCTCTTAACATGCTATGGGTGTAACCATAAAGCATCAACATTCTATACTAATTAAATTTATTTAACCAGCAGCTCCTGTAACAATTTGAGGTTCATCCAGCAGAGAGACCTTAATTGTCAGATTGATGAAGATACATGGAAACAAATTATGGCTGATAATGGTAAATATGTCAAGGAAACCAGAGGTAAATTCACTCAATATAACATTTTACACCGGTATTACTGGACACTAGGTAGGCACATTCATACATCTCATATGGGAATGTTCTACGGCCAACCCATTTTGGCAAAGTGTATTGAAATTCTTAGAGGCGTGGGTAGGAATATCCTTGCCACTATCCCCACATCAGTGTTGATGGTGGGGACAACCTCAGTTGCCAGAATTAATCTGAGACATTGGAAAGCATCCACTATCCCAACATTTAATGAGTGGAAAGCTTTGATGAGTGAAACAGCATCATGTGAGATTATGTTGACAAGAATAAGGGGCAGGGGACCTGTGGTTCTAGGAAGCTGGGATTATTTTATGGACTACCTGACCTCTTACTAGTAGTTTGTTTGTAATCCTGTACCTCTGTATTTTTGTAATTTCTTTTTTCCTTTTAACCAGGAACACCTTACCAATTTGTCATTTTGTTGTCTGATCTTTTTATGTATGTAAGCTGTACCCAATGAGCTATGTACCATGTTTATAAATAAAAAAAAAAAAAAAAAACATGCTATGGGTGTCAGATCAGTGGTCCCCAACCTTATCGGCTCATTTCCTCTTAAAACAAAAGTTTAATTTAACTAGAAATCATTTTGTGGTGAAGAAATTGTGGACTGAACTGAACTAGACGATGCACAATCTGCAATGTGGCAGGCTGTTATGTAATCGTTACGAGCTGCAGGTACATTCATATATTCTTTGCAGATTTGGATAAAAATGATTTGTTCTTGGAGAATAAAAGAAGAATTAAGATTGAGACAGAGATATGGAATTATTATTAGATCTTTTATAGCCATTATCGTTTTGTGAAGGTTGTTGTGCCCCAGTGGAAGACCCTGATCATTATCAAACATGATGGATATTTTTAGGTAAGGAGCATTTAATAGTGCTCAAAGAAACAGAAAAGTCAGTATGGTAGACAGATTAATATGTGTCCTCCAATTCAAGAAAATCAAGTGTCTGTGGGCTTTGTATTAAGATTCCTTCTCACAGTGTGCATTTAAAACATTAGTGTAAAAATAGCAAGCAGCAGCCGGGGGCAAAAACATGCCGAAAGTCAAACAGAGCAGGCAGGGGTCAAAAATGGTTCTGCTGTGATTTAGTAAGGTAGGTGATACTCACATATTCCTTCACGTTCTTCGTTTTGACAGCCTTGTATGAGGAGTACGCTGGATAGAGCGTCCCAAAGGCAAGGCTGCAAAAAAAAAAGTAGAGGAGCACAGAAGTGTGGGTCAGAGGAAAGGGGATTCAGCTTGAGAACATACCCTCTGGGTGTTGACTCAGACACCTAACAAATGTGCTCTGGCTTAAAAAGCAGGTTAGCCAAGTTTGCTCTGAGTTTAACACATGTAGCTTTCTGTATTAGAGGTCTATTTATACTAGTGCTGGGCGGTCATTCGTAACACGGAAATTAAAAAAACATTTTAATGCAGTAATGTGTGCAGAATGTAAACAATAAAAGAAAACTAGTCAGGAAATATATATATATATATATATATATATATATATATATATATATATATATATATATATATATATATATACATACAGTAGTATATGACCCAGCAAAGTCAGTCTCTCTGTGTTTTTGGTCTAAATGCTGATTCTACAGTCGACAGCTGATGGGCAGCGGCTTGTCAAAACACACTGGCCTGATAATCAGTACAAAAAACAACAACATATAAAGCAGGTCATCAAGTCAGGAAAACCGCAGCGAGATCAAGTGGAAAAACACACAAAAACCTGCCAGGGGTGGGTCACCATGTGTTGGTCCAAGTGCAGATTGGGACACAATGCACACAGGGCCGGGTTTTTGATGTGCATTTGGTGACATCCTGTGCCACTGTGGTGATTTGTGCTGATGTGACAGGATGCGAAATGCTGAGTGAGGGGACAGCAGGGAGAATACAATTCAGAAAGCCACTAGTTTGTTTTTATGTGCCCACAGTGTAAACCACTGATTGTGTCGTATATATTAACTAAAGGGTTGAATGTCTACCTACAGAATGAGGCTCTCGCTCCGAGCTACTGGTAGCCTTTCTCAGCATTTAAGTAGGTCTTCTGTCCGTGTACAGTATTGTGTATGAGCTGCTCAGTCATGTGTGCAGCAGCTCTCAGCTTTGTACAGTAAGCTGAGGCGACTCTTAGAAAGCCCTCAAGCCAGCAGACTCCCTCAGCAGACGCCCTACGCCTCTTTTTGTCCCCATCTCGGGTTCATTTCTCTGAGTTTTGAGGGCGTCCCGTCCTCTGGCTGAGATTCCAAGATCAGAGATATTGAGCACACTGTTTGGTTAAGCTGCTTATGTCACCTGTTTTTCAGGTTTGGACAAACCATTTTTCTGTCTGATTACCTTTAAAAAAACAACAAAAGGGCCAGCTGCATATTCGACATGCAGAGTAAAGATGAGAAATGATTGATCTTGTGTTAGATGTGCAGCAGCCATTATGATGCATATGCACTCACACTGTTTGTCTCCCATCCACGCATGACTACCTGAGGTTCAGTGAAGTGGAAGAGCCAGCTGGAAGCCGCTAAAAGTAACCGTTTGCCAATGTGTTTTTTACGTAATCCAGCAATTACGTAATCGATGTTTCCAGGATGAAACATCGATTACATCTCTACACCTGGGACCTTTTCAAAGACACCATTGGGTTACACCACCAAGCTTAAGCACAGCCTGGTTGAATCCACGAGAAACTGACAGCACTCACTGGAATAAAGGCACAAAAATACAGTAGTAACCAATGTGGTGTATTGTTTGGATGTGGATGCTGTTCGTATCCAGAAGATTACAGACATGGATCTTTATCTTTATAAAAGATATACGATATGCAGATCTGGATACATTTCCATGAACTTTAAGACGATTTGATCTTTCCTGATCATTGACATGTGCACCCAGTAGTCAGATGACATAATACCCTGCTCCCTCAGACACTTGACATTAGACAATACTAATGCAGCATTGCAAAGCGTCTGCATTGGGGATCAGGGTGATGATTGCTGCTGCTGGCTTTGGTTGAGTCATCCACACAGTCGGGATGTGTACAGGTGGAAGCCCAGGCCTGACCTGCTCATACAGCTGGTATCTTTAACATGATGTAATACTTAAAAATGTACCAGTCATCCACATTGATCTGGCCAGTTCCTGAACACAGGTCTAATCATGGATCGATGGACACACACACACACACCCGTGACTGGCCTTGCTGGGCCATCACATTTTACCAACTCATGTTACCATATGGTGTACAGAGCAGCAGCATTCAGGCTGTGATGATCAAAGAAAAAAGGCCATGGCGGCAAGTTTAGAGTCTGGCTCCTTGTCTGCAGCGAGGTTGACATACTAAGCAGGTTTTACTCGAATAACGTGGCTGACTAACAGCTCCTTTTCTCTGCCAACACATTATCTGTCAGGTGGTTTCACACTTAACAGGCTAGCCCGCATACGTTAGCTACCAGCGGCTAGCAAGCGCTGGATGCAGACAGTACCGCATCATTGCCTCAAACAGGGCAACGGTTGCTACGGTTAGCACAGACAGCTGCTTCAGTCCAGCGCTTATTATTAACTAAATTAAGAGTTTAGGTATTTGTCCACGTTCATAAAATGTACAGAACATATATAAAAATGGATGACAGAGCACACCGAGGCTAACTACTAGCCTAGTTGTCGCGGCGTTCATCAGACAGCTGATGAATGGAGGAGCCGCTAACGTTTTAACCACAACAACAGATGCAGCCCAGCCCATACTCACACTACTATCCTCGAAATAATCCACGATACCATCTTGCTGCACCGTGACTCTCCTCCGCTTCTAAGAAAATCTTTTTTTTTTTTTTTTTTAATATAGGAAGCAAGCGGGCTAGGTGCCCCCCATTCCCCCAGCCTCCAGGACGCGGGGTTTGCTGTGATGGCTGTCCGCTGTGCCGTGCAGTCAGGTGGGCCAGCAGCAGCGGAGGATGTGCTGCAGTCTCTGGCTCCGAGCTCCTCTCCAATGCTCCTACCACTGCTGGACGGACGGGCTCTTAAAGGGCCAGGGTCCCGCTGTAAAAGGTGTCATTTTAACTTTAAAAAAAAACCTGTGCTCTTTCCAAGGTTATTATGAAGTAAACTGCACTATAAAACTAAGAGTGGATGTGAAGAAGTGTTTTAGTTAAGTAAAATTAATATATAAAATAACATTAAAAGATACAGAACATACAGAAAAAGTATTTTAGTTTTAGTCTCTGGTCAAATTTGTCAACACAAGTATGAGGAGGCATTTGTGCATAAGTTTATTGATAAGGAATATCTACATGACCCTGACTTATACCCCCCATGTTATAATTAAAACAAACACAGCACTGATAAAAAACTAAAGCTAAACATTTTTAAACAAGAAAAACTTTAAACAAGCACATCTGTTCTGGAAATAACTAAACTAAAAACAAAACTAAAAAATGGAATAGAAAAATACAAAACTATAATAAGTCTTTTCTTCCTGTGCAGTGCATCGACACTGACACATTCATATGATCCAATCAGCTCAATTAATTAATTAGTGGCAATAATGAGAAAGATGCCAGAGAGCCCATGGTTAACAGCAGATGAGATTATAATAGAGTGACTCTTATTAAAGACAGTAAACCTTGTGATTTAAAAAGATGTCTTTGTTGGTTTAAAGTAACTGCACTCATGCCTGCCTCCTCCTCCTTGGTTAGGCACAGTACATTCAATCTTCTCTGCCCCATTTTTGTGATCCACTTACTAATTCAGACACGAGCAGCGAAAGCTAGGCCACACAGGACAGAAAATAACAGCTGTCATCTGTAAAACACAATCTGGTAAATGGCAGTGTGTTTTATGGTGATTTTAGGAGCTTTATTATTCTAATTACAGCTGAAAATAAGACACTTGGTCAGATTGGAAGGTTGGGTACTAACACTTCCACAATTTATGAAGAAACACTAATCATATTCAACACCACACAGGACATTAAATCTATGAGAGGCATTTAGACAAGTGCTGAAACAATTAGTCAATCAACAGAAAGTGAAGTGATTCCTTTTCACAATTACAATCTACAAGTTGTAGTGAGAATCCTACATATTTGCTTCCAAATGTTAATATTTGCTGCTTTTGAATACTTTTGGACTTAAATAAATATATTTAAAATATATAAAATAAATAGCCCTAATTCAAACTTTTTAATACGACCATGTCTTATAGGCACCCAGGTTGTGGATAAAAATGACATATTAAAACAGTAGTTTTTGTAAACTTTATTGTGAAAAATCAAACAGACTGCTAAGATCAATATATATATTGATACAATGTTAATGGCCAGTAGTTCTGTTCAGCTGCAATTGTGATTCTTGAACAATGTTGTTGGAAGTCTGCAGTTCATTCAGCCCATGGGACAAAGATAGGTGACCAAAAAAACCAAAAACTGCCTTCTCTGAAGTCCTCCTAATCGTTACATTGTGGTGTATAAAAAGAAAAGACTTCTTACTCTAAAAGTGAAATAAGAAAACAAAAAATACAAAACTTTGGTCTGCTTCCCCTCACTGGCTGCTTCACAAATTCATTTCAACCACAAAGGGCAGAAGCAATCAGCTGTTTAAAAACTCCAACAACAAAAAAATCTACAAAAAACAGGTTAACCTCGCTCCTATTGAAGAAAAATAATATCAACGTCATCAAAATAGGAAAGTTAGCCCAGTACTCACATTTTTGTCAGTCACTTAGATGGTAGCTGAACCTCTGCTCAGCTTTTACCTCCCTTACTCTCACATCTTACATATACAATGAAAACAACAGAACAAACACACTGACCTTAAATACAGAGTTAATCCAAAAAAAAGAAAAAGAATTTGTAAAACAACTAGACAAGTTTGAGCGTACTGTGTAACAGCGATAAAGGACTTCCTTCATCGAAGCGCTGACTAGCCCCATCCCAGTTTAATCCCTCCCAAAATTAAATGTTCTCTTTCCCCCAAACCCAGACCATCACTGCCCCTCCCCCCAAAAAAACCTACACTCTATCTTTGTACTCTGCACTCAGCAGATTGTACTTGTGTATGTAGGTATATAATGCATACTGTGTGTATACGTAGTGGAGTGGTCGTCAGAGGCTGGTTGTTTTGAGACAGCATTGAGTGAGAAGAACTAAGGGCGGGCTAGTTTAGGCTCATGTGCCTTCAGTGTCCCAACAGCGTCCTTCACTGCGTGATAGATGATGTTCTTCACCTGAGGAGAACATGACAGGAAAAGTCTGTTAAACATGGAAACAATCTCCTGCCCCAGAACACGTAAATAATATTGTCTCTAAGGCTGGGTGCTGTTTATATATTAATGTCAACTCATACAGTAACAAGCAGCTGCCTGAGAATAGAGCTGCGTTATACTGGTTCCTTGTTATTGTTTAAGCCAAAAGACAAACTAATTGTCACTTGTGGCTATTTTAACATTCCTCTGATGACGCTTGAAGAGTTTCAAAAGCAGGCATCGTCGTTTATTGTCAACAGATTTAATCCCGTCAGAAGAACGTTAAGATATTAATTATATTCTATAGTCACAAACTGATTGATGTTGTCTTCTACCAGCGTGCACACATTTGCTGGCTGCATCACAGCAGGGAAAAAAAAACATCCTCTGCTTAGTACTTTTTCTAAAGAAACCTTCAAATGCTGGCTGGAAGATATTAGAATTCACCTAAACACATACCATGATAAATCTTAACACAAAAAGTCAAATCTTTAAAGAAAACAGATTTTAAAATATAAAAACACACTTTACATCCAGTTATAAGTTGTTCTGATTTCATTTTGTGTATCACATAAATTATATCAGTTGAATTTGATTTCTGTCAGTTCATACTTAAGCAACTCTTAACCTAGTCTGAGTTTGTCACTTCTTGTCCATCAAACCAGCAGATTACAAAGGTGTGAACTCTCAAGATAAACGTTCTCTAGTTGAATGCATTCAAATCCGACGTTGAAACTACATGAGGGAAAATTCCACCAACCTGTAGCTTGTCTTCATGGTTTGTATGAGTAGTGGACAGGTGTCTGAACTCCTGGGTCAGTCTGAAACAGTGCCTCACATGCTCAGGAGACACAAAGTCCTCTGCCACTTTAATACAGCTGTACAAGTTATGCACCTGAGAGGAGAAGAGCAGAGAATGAACAAATATGTTAATAAAGCAGATTCAAGAACTTGAATCACAGGACATTCATAAATTATATCTATAACAGGGCTGTACCCGACCCAAATTTTGTCAGGTGAATTCGTTTTTAGCTGTTTACGGTTTCTTAAAATAACACAATATGTCTGACCTGGTGTGGAGCTCCAGCAGGGATAAATACGGCATCTCCTAAGAATTGTACAATGGCCCAACCCTGGACGCCATATTCTTCATACAGCCTGCGGCGGAGCACCTGGTCCAGGTACCAGCTCTGGTCGTGAATGGGGTCGTGGTCTGGAGGGTTCTCTTGTCCCTGCTCCTCTCCCACCTGACAAAGACGTGCATAAACCGAGGCATAATCTTAACCATTAAGTGTAATAAACGAGATGTAGAGGAGGGAAAAACTGGATTCAGATTAACATGAATTCACAGAATGCAAGTTGTCTTAAAAGTATTTTCTGAAGGGGAATCAGATATTTGTTTGTGCATTATATTTGCTGACATCAGGCCATAGGTAGAGCAGTTTTCATTCAATTCATCACTGTCTTTGTAAAGCACCCTAGGTCTGAGCTTGAGAGATCAGATGCTCTTTTTAGACAGAAATCTACTGCCTGCTGACCTTGCGGAGCAGTTCTCTGATCTTCTCAGCGTCCTTGGCAGCGTAGATGTGCCAGAGAGCTCCAGGTTTCTCCTTTGCCTCGTACACCCGCCTCTTCGTCATTTCATCTACGTCGCCCTCCTCAATCGTGGTCATGACCTCTGGAGGACCAAACATAAACAACAAAGCACACACATACAGGACACCAAAGGGTCATCAGCAGTCATCAGAGTTTACAGAAGAGTTTTCTCTTCAACTGAATTAGGTTTATAGCTTCCGTCTTTTCCTCATTCCAGTTTGATGACTGACTAAACGTATGAGGCCCCGTGTGGGACAGTCGAGATATATCTGCATTTCTCGTGTGATTAATGGCATAATTCTTAAATAACTGAATTATTGTACATTCATCATAATGTTTGACAACAATGGCACAGAGCTGTAGTTCTCAATTGGTTGCTCATGACCCACCAGTGGCAAGTCGCAAGTCCATTATAAGAGGACTGCAAGATTGTGGGCCATGATAGTTTTATTCTGAAGTGCACAGATTTTCCAGAGCTTCTTTTATATTACTGTTTATAGCTGCATCATGTGGCTGTCACGACAACCATCCCGAGCAGCAGTCCGATGTGTTCATGTTTTTCCCCAAAGAACTTTGATTAATAAAAGAAAATGTGTCTAAAGAGAAACTATTAATATTGCCTTTGGCAAAACATGAAAGAACCACAACAGGACAAATGTTTCAAGCGCATGAAAGCTTTGTAGATCACTGAACTATCAATTTCAATTCAATGTTAGTTGTATAGCGCCAAATATATATATTTGCCAAGAAATCAATGAAAATGGTTCAAATGTTTACTGATGATTGGGTTGTGACTTAAAGCAAAGGATGATCTTGTGGCTGGACCAGTTGAGAACCACTGGGGCAAAGATAAGGACAAGTTACAGACTACACAATCACATTGACTGACACAATATTCACATCGACAGCCTAAGGTTGATCGTACAGAGCAACACTACTGCCTACAAATGAGTTATTCAGAGTTATTCAGAAAGATGATAAGTGAAAACAAAAATTCCTGACTGATGTGGATTTTTGTCTTTCACCAGCTCAAAGTTGTTTAATTTAAGTGTATCTCTTTGCTACCTCACCATGTGTACGTGTTTAAGGTAACTTATATTAACAATGTGTCTGTCTGTGTGTGTGCTGGCACAGGCATTATTATCTGGCCACTCACAAATGATTCCT